TCCAGTCTTCTGGGACCTCCCCTGTTATCAATGTGACCCTGTGATCAATGTCCTAGTTCAGTCTCAGTGTACCATCTTTTTCCCCTCAAATGCATAAGGTCCTTCTCCCATAAGCAAATCACCTGAGATCCCTAAAGGCACTGCCAAGCAGAACTTTATACTGGAGGAACACAAGTAACTCCACCACACAACTAATACTGGCTCCAAGAGCTGGACAGCCTCTTAAAACACTTTCCAGTTAGAAATCAGGTAAATGTATTTACCTGTTGTAAGAGTTGACAAAGAGATGAAGGTTGGTTTGATTCATATCATTAATAATATGCTGACGGTATGTATGGATCAGGTCATGGTTGCTGTGAATCTCTTCCTACAGTGGAGAGAGAATCGTTCAGAATAGGAGCTATTTTCTGAAAGGATCTGAAGACATGGCACAGCAGTCATGTATCAGACTCATATCTACACAACAGGAATGCACCTTTATGAAAGGGACAACTTCTAGCTGCCAGTGGTGTCACCCAGAATTAACATTCGCCTCCGACTGCAGTACCACATTTTTTGCTTTAAAACTTCAGTGTGTCGTAATGTCAAGATCTTATAATTGCAAAACACGTAGTTGTAGTGCAGATTGTTATGGTCAGACAAGTGTGAGGTTTTAAAACAAAAAAAAATATTCAGAGTAAGAAGTTCAATAAATGTTTCCAGAGTAAAGCAGATGTTGAAAGCTTACAAACATATGTAATATGGAACTCGATTTCACAATAGTAAATAACTAAGCTTCAAGGACCTCAGTCACTAACATTTTCAAATAGTTTGGTTCTAAAGTCTTTACAGATTAGCTCCTTGTTTTGCTGTAATGCAAATGCTTTCCAGAGCATTTACCAACAGTCTCAAGCACAGCAAAGTAGCCTCAGAAAACAGTATACCGCTTCCCATTACAGTAGACTTGCACTGAAGAGCACCATTAGTACTAATAACCAGCTTTCCCACAGTTACAAGTATATTATGGCATTAAAAAAAAAATCTCTAGGGAAGTTCTGCTCACAACATGAGCACATGCAACACGGCGTTGGCTGCCTAAACAGGGAGCTGCTCCTACTAGAGGTGTTGCGACTGAGATGCACTTGGGTAAGTGGGACACAGCGTACCACTTCCAAAATACTGGGAACACAACTATGAATACACTCTCACTGTTTAACTTTGTACTTTGTTGCTTAAGTGAAGGCTTCTCCCCTCCTCCCAGCCCCAGGAGGGTAAATACAGATGACTGAATACCAGAGGAATCTTTTGAACATCCTTACCTTTCCAAAAAGATGTGAAATGACCATGTCTGGTAAAGCATTTGTCCAACCTGAAATCTGAACAGCAAGATTATCTAAGTATCTGATATTAAAACAATCCTTGAACAACTGAAACCTTTCAATCACCCCTAAGTAGACCAATGGATGCGTCTCTGCTGTCTTTATATGTACAATATCCTGGACTGATAATTTTTCACCTCAGTCCAACTGAAACACCTTTAGGGGTTGTTTTTGTTTGAGTTATTCTCATCTCTGTAGTAATGCAGTGACACAGGGAACATGCTGTTAGCGGCACAGGTATATATTTTTTTCCAAGCAAACCAGACAGTTGGGTGACATTTAACCTCACTGCCCAATCCCCTCCCTAACATCCCACTGACAATACATTGGACCTGGTACCTAAAGTTTATGTCCCAGAGTATGTGCTCTTGCTTTGTAAGGACAGAGGGATGCAGGGCACCTGCCCTACTGCTAAGGTCAGCAGGACTTAAGCAAGGTGGAAGGCAGAGGCACAGATACAGAATAATTTAGTTATAGTGAGACATTGGGTGAGATAATCAAAATGGGTCAACTGGTACATCTCAGTGTAGGAGGAGTTACTAAATATACTTCCAGATCAAACTTACAAAACCAAACTGGTATGCAAAATTATTAAAAAAAAAAATAAATTAGTAACTAAGCCTTGAAAGAATGTTACATCCTCGCTCTGGAAGTTTCTCCTAGTATTATAAGGTTGTCATTACATTTAATATCACCCTAGACACTTACAATGGGTTGGCTCTGTGTGGTTAAAAGATGACGTACTAATTTTTGTACTTCTCAGAGTATTTATAACAACTGCCATTCACTTAAACATGACCCTAAATGATACAAAGTGCCTTCCATCAGCTTACCCTGAAAAGTGTTTTAACCTGTTAAATCTGAGTGACATGTAATGTAACATTTACAAATACTGTTTCCAGAAAGATTTTTGAAACCAGTTCTCAGCCCTGTTTTCCCACATTGCAATCTTTCTTACAACTACAAAAGAATACGGTTAACAGGAGCTTCTTTGTATGTGAACATTTTGACTTAAAAGTCTGGTTGTACGGACAATCTATCCACAGTTACCGTAGCTAATGTGCTTTTCTGAGTCTTTTTTGGCATCTAAGACTCAGCTAGATGATTGAATCCTGGAAGATGTTGTTCTGAACATTTTTCTGTGCTCTACTTCACATTTTGGACTGTGCTGGTAAACAAAGCCATAGACAAGAAAGAACTGAATGTTACACTATGCTTGAAGTTTACTTGAAAGAAAGTTGTTTCCAAAACTACCCTGTGTCCAGGTTAAACCAGACTTCCCCCAGCAGCAACCAGCTCTTAAGAATTGTCCATACCCAGTAGCTCCATTATACCACGGGTATCTGTTTCCTCAAAGTACTTATTTTTATAACAAGCCTTATAGGAGGTATGTTTGTAAATGGAAAAATAAACCCCAAAGGAATCAGTCTGGGATGTTTTGTGTCTGCAGCCATGCCTTGAGAGACAAGCTTGTCCAGCTCCTCATGCCTGACAAGCTCACAGTGGATTTATTTTTCTAATTTAAAATTGTTTACCTTAGTTGCTGCCCAGTCCATCCAGCCTTCAGCACAAGGGTTTACATTAATGAGAACTAATCCCTCCACCATCTCTGCATGGTTTAACTGCAAAAGAAAAGATTTAAGATTCATCACATATCCTTTGCAACTTGACACTCAGCATAAAATTTAAATTAGTAAATTATCTCCTGGGGAGGAAGGCGGTAGGTCTGGTTTTATCTTGCACAAAACAAGTGTATGTATGGAAAAAAAAATTCCATTAAAGCAATTCAACTGAGCAGCTGGAGAACATTAAGATTTAACTTCTTCTCCACCCTCAGGTTAAATAGAGAACTCCCATTAAAAAAACCTTCTGCAAATTAACTGGGTAGAGCCCAGGCCCTAAAATGGAAAATCTAGGTCTTCTGGATGAGCTATCCCGCAGATTGTGGTATTTCATTTAAAAGCCTAACTGCTTACTTAAATGGGCACAGCAGACCAGGAATTCTCTGCACACACAACAGAGGAGACCACACGTCAGGGAAATCAGGTTCAAGGCTTTAGGGAAGCTCCATGAAACTTACAGCAAATCTGGTTAAGATGTAGGCACCGGCTCCAGTTCCCATTCCTATAACGGTCTTCAGCCTGCATGGCAATAAAACGGAAGAGACAAATGAGTAAGAAGCATCAAAAATAAATGAACCTGCATCAGCAGCATTCCTCTTTCATATAGCCAGAGCGTATCTATGGGAGGTGGGTTGCAGCTTGGGCAAACTGTGGACCTTCAGCAATGCGACCAGCCCCAGCAAGGAGCTTGCTGTAGCAGCTGGTTTGTTTTTCTCAATTTGCAGGGCATTAGTCCTCATGCATTGCAGGGCAGCAGCAATTCTCCCTTATCTTTAAGCAAATATACTAAGCAACCATAGCATTGTTCAGATCCTGGAAGGAAACAGCTATTTTCTGCCAGAAAAGCTTATAAGATATAGTCCTGAAATCTGCAGCCCAAACACAAAGTCCCCTCTGGCCCCCTCCCCAGAGTCCCCCTGCCCTCCTCGATACAGCCATCCAACTGGGATACTGACTCCTCTCTAACAGGGGGCTGGCAGGGAAACCTCTCATGCTATCCAGCCACCGGGGTGATGAAGTTTAAACTTCATAACCAAACAGGGCAGAGACAAACCAAATATTTGCATTCACTGGAACTGGTTTTAAAGCGTCAACCTATCACCTTCAAGGTCTTAGAAAATACATGGAAGGGAGGACCAGACAAAACCACTCAGAAAAATAAGTTATACAATGCTTTCAGGAAAATAGCTGAGGATAGTTTTCATTCTCATTAGCAGTATTAATTCAAGGCTTTGTAAGTACACTCCAGTTTAATTGATTTTTTAAGGTTCTGACATTATGTTAGCATTTCTTTCAGTGCAAAAGCAGAACTGGCAAACCTCTGCCTTATATTATGTTTCAAAAAACAGGTCTTTTAGGAAGGTAGTGAGGTAAACTGGTAAAAGGTATTGTAACACCTGGTTACAACAGCTAAGTAACATCTAAACTGGGGTGCTGGTCTGAGATAAAATCCCTGCCAGCAGTCCAGCCCATCTGTTCTCCAAGGCTGCCTAACCCTGAGTGCCAGGTTTTCCCTGCTTGGTTTGAAAACCCCTTGGAGGTGCCTACCTGCAATTGCCATTGTGCACCAGGAGCACCAACTCCGCAGAGAAGGTACCTTTCTCAGCTACAGCTGCTGCTAAAGCTCAGCTTTAAGGGACGGAGCACTCATAAATGTGTTGCAGGTAGACAACAGAGGAACACTGCCACCGAGTCCTTGGACATTGGTAATCTGGTATGTGCACTTGGTAGCAGATGAGGCTTAAGGAGGTCACTCAAACCACAGAAACATAACAGTAAGTGTCTTCAGACAGGACCACATTTTTTTCTGCTAACCACACAGGAAAACACAAGTTGTTACATTGGGAAGAACAGATTGCCTGTGCCCTGCCACTGTCAGGGCTATGCATAGAAAATACTGGAGGAAGCCCCTAAATTAGGCACATGGGATTTCACTTGGAGTTGCTTCCTGTTTAAAAATAAACAGACATTTTAAAAAAGGACAAAAAAAAAAAAAAGCCCTTTTGGAAACAAAAGCAAAAGTGATCCATCTATAACAGAGGAATTAAAAAACATCTGCAACCATAATTCTAACCCCCCCCAAAAAAAATGCCAGATAGCCAGACTGAAGCTTCAGGGGCAGATACCTGCTCTGCCCTGCTCTTCTGATGTGCCACATAGAGTCAAGAATGAGGAAATCAAGTAATTCTACACTCACCCAAACTGTTTCAGGATTCCAGGAAGCATTTCAGCCAGCTGATCCATGGAGGGATACACATACCTACAACAAATGTGTTTGTGGAGTTACTACATCACTTTCACTAGAGGAGGCTGGTTTATTTAGAGATGCAGCGGTCACTGTAAAGCTAATATCAAATGTGCCCATGAGACCACCAACAGTGTGAGCTGAAATTAAATCAGGAGCAAGTACAAGTGGTTAATTTCACTGAAATATGAGCATTATCTACATGGTACTTTATGTGAGTTACAGGATGATAGATATCTGGTCCAACTGAGAGCAAAACAGGCCATAACAAATATCTTCCAAGAAAAGTTAACACTTAAAACTTCTGAAAAGGTTTGAACTTGAAAGGTGAGTTTCCAACTGTATTCATCACATTCGTGCTTCTGGTCCACCATGAAAAAGTTTTCCCATGTTGCAGAATCACAAAGCACAGCAATGAGATGTATATCTTTGGCAAATAATTTGCATGCATGTTTCCAGGGACACACAAATTACCCTAGGATAAATGAGGATAGCTTTCTATTAATATTGATGAAGAAAATGAAGGCATAGGAAGGGCTACGAAGCGGCTAAGGGAGTTGAATAAAAACAGCTGCCAGTTAATGCTCCTGGTCTGCAGAAAAACAAAATTTTGAGGGAAGGACACTATGAGTAAAATCTCAACTGAGCAGCACATGGAAAAAAATCCACCCAAAGTAGCTGGAGAACATCTGCCTAGGAAGTACTCAAATCTATGCTTCCCATCAGGACTACACCTAATAATTCTCTGGTTTAGTCTCCAAAATAAAACCAAGCAAAAAACAAACAGTGCAGAACTACTTTAAGTCATTCTTTCTTAGATTTGCTTGTTGGGAAATGAAACCTTGTCATGACAAAAGCTAGCATCACCACAACAGCTATGACTTTTAACTCAAGCATATTGGTCTCCCAGCTGGAGGGCTTGGAGAGATAATACAGTTCCTTGTGCTGTCATCATGATGTTATTAAGCAGTGGTCTTTACTAGCACAGATCATGATGGTTGCACTACACAGCTGACAACTCAGAAGTGTTAACGCTTGTTCAGGACATGAGGGTTAAGACACTTAAAAGCTCATGATTCAAACAAACACAAAGGGGAATGACCTAGATAGCTTTGTAGGCTGCTCTGGTAGACAACTGGGCCACTGCAGTTAGCATTAGCTGAGAACCTGGCCCATCATGACCTCCTCAGCATCAGACCAGCTTAAAAATGAAGGGAAATAGACTGGCTCATGCAATAAGGGCACATATAAGCTCCTTAATACCTAGTTTTTATAGAACAACTGTTCCTTGCCTTGTACCCTCCCCTCTGCATGTTGGCTGCTCTGTTCCTCAACCAAGATGATTCATATCCAAGGGGCATCTTAAGGCAAACTTGACACATTTGAACTAAATGGGACAAGCATTTTGTCAATGACAGTGGTCATACATAGTACACAAGGTTTCCAAGAGTTACAGCATTATACATGATAGATAGCTGCATATTCCTGATTGTATCTATGATATTCTATGGGGGTACATCACTTTGTTACTGTCCAACAACTTGCATTTTCCAGGTAGGTTATCAAGTCTGTTTATCAACATCTACCATGCTGCTATTTCATAAAAACCACAGGTTTAGGAAGGACATTACATAGTGGCTAACGCCTACCTTGTTCATAGTAACAATTTAGTCTTTTAACTGTATTCAGGATGTCATTACAGAACAAGGCAACTCAATATTTAAATTGACAGATGTAAACATCTGTCAAGGAATTGCTTTACAAGCAGTCTAGTTATCAGAGAAAAATACAAAACTACAGACCCAAAGTCTTCTGTGAACTGGCACAACACAGACCTCCCAGAGCTCCAGTATCTTAGAAATACTGTGTCAGGATTTAAGTTCAAAAGCCAACTACTGTGTTTGCTGCAAGTGCTTTTTAATTAAGCTGCAGATCAAGACTCTTTCTAGAAAGAGGATAACTCTGGAAGCACAGGCTGTTTCCCTGACAACTCACCCAGTCTGGAAAGATGGTGCTCCATCCTGCTGACCAGGTGCATCCACATGGCAGACTGCAAAGTGCTGGGTGATTTCCTGCATGTCCTCAAAGTTGAAGAGAGGATTGAAGCAAGTTTTATCTTGAGAAAGAAAAGAATATATGTAATAATTATCCTGAGGGGAAATAGTAAGTTTGCAGCTATAATAAAATAGTTTCTTAACCTGTCCTGCAGGTTAATGAAAAGTTGGTTCAATCAGGTGAGCTACATTACAGCCCGGGAAAAGTGGCAGTCCCTTATTTCTAAGGAGGAAAGATCAGTAAAGCCCTGCTACAAAGCAACCTGTGACAACTTGCTTTAATTCCTTGAAGCAAAAAAAAACTGAACAGCTCTGTCCTCATAGCCAGCTAAGGTTTATCTATGCTATTTTGGTACCTGACAGAAGTATTTGCTTGGTACTCCAAAATCTCAAAAAATCATTCTTTATGAAAAGTTAAAATACTAATAAAGTGCAGCCAGGAGTATTCATCCCTGGTTTTGGCTTAGATGAAATTATCCATTTACTTGTGCAGTCATTTTTCCTTGGATTGTGTCAGAACAGATGGAGGCAAAAAAGTAGCCAAGGCTGAGATCGTGAGTTGTGCTTTTGCCCAAATATTACAAGATAAACATTACATGAGTGGCTGCTGCAGGCAGCTCAAGACAAAAGCGTCTGTCTGGGATATTCAGTGCTGTAGGCTCCCAAAACTGAAGTGATTTGATTTCTGATGTTTAAGCAATATTGATGTGGGGAGAGGGTTAGCATATTTTCCTCCTGGAGTGGAGAGCATGAATTCTGTACCACCACCTTTGAGATGCCTAGAAAACAGTTCAATATTCTATGTGTGTTTCTGAATGCCCTCACATGACAACATACAAGCAAAATCATTGCAGGACAAAAAACACTTTAGCTAAAATCTGCTTTAGGATAATATATAAGTTTGGGAAAACGTTCCTCCTCTTTCAAAGGGTAAGAAAGTTTATTCACCTTAATGATAGACTTTGTAACTCTAGAAAGAAAAAAGTCTTACGCAAAGATAGGACCCAGACTAAGCTCTTCCCTGATCTACTGAAAATCCAAAATAAAGTACAGCAGTTCCACAAAAAACAGATGTTTTCCTTATGAGTTTTTTTTTCCCCCCCCCCCCCCCAGCAATAGCCAGCCTTTAAAGCTCTGCAGGTGCTTTTAAATGTAAATGTTGATTAAGAAACAGTAACTTGTGTGAAACAAGCAGTATTGATGAAAAAAACAAATCAGAGCAGATCTCAACATTAGGTCATTATATTCTTGGGTCTAACAGATAAGATAAAAGGCACTTAAAGTTATTTTCTTAATACTGGCTAAGAACACAATGCCAGCACTCATTTCATCATCCTGATTTGACATGTAATTCATACAAACACATGGCACTGTAAGCCTGGCTGTCAGGCAGGAACCTCAGCCAAAGCACTAGCAAGGTTGTTTTCAACCCTGCTGGCAATACACCCTCAGCCTCCCCCTACAGATCTTTTTACAACATTTATACATGGTGACTATGAGCTACCAGAGATCTTTTGGTCCTCTAAGTGAAATATTCCAATTATTTACTTTGGGAGGATAAAAAAAAATCAGAGGATTAAATTGGCTATAAGAGAGGAATTAGGTACCATCTAACAGTTTGCAATGCACATAAATGAGAAAGGCCTGGGAGAGGTTTCCTAACCATCGCCGCTTCCACACCTTTGATTATGGCAGTAGCATCAAGGAACCAGGCTATACGTGTGCTATTAAATAAAAGGTCTACTTACGATTCAGCCCAATGTCGTGGTAGGTGAGGATAGCCGGTCGGTTCCCTCTGGGTGTCCCACACATGGTGACATGGACTGAGCCATGCACAGTCTCCACATCTTGCTCCTGGCAAAGAACAGGAGGAATCTGTCAGGGGCTTGTCCAAGTGCTCCACTAAACACCCACTGCAGCAGACCTCGCTCTGACCAGAAGCTTGGGTCCTGCCACATCCCAGGGTCTGCCCACAGCCACAGGGGGTTTCTGCAATTCCCATGCTCACGCACCCCGTTCTTCCCCAGGGTGGGGGCTCCCTGCTAACGTTTTACTTTCTGTTGTCACCTACTCCTGTCCACAGACAACTACAGAAGCACTAGAAACTAGCTCTGACCATATGCTGAGGAAGTAAACAGTTTTTAACCTCATTAAAAGGTAGCATAAGAAAAGAAAAAAAGCAATCCAGTCTAACAGCACCTAAAATAACAACAGTTTACAACTATGACATTTGCAGAAGTGCAACTTGCCAAGATATAATACTGTTTTCTAGGAAAAGGAATTTAACTTGGCAAATAACTCCTATTCCCCAAAGAAAGCAGTATGAAGACGCCTGTATCTGCCATACACACCTACCACACTGTGGGGCCTTGTGGTTATAGTAGCCTTTCCCAATAAACATGATAGCCATGAGTTAGATTTATGGCTTGCTATGTATAGACCTGAGCATATACCCAACCACCTGAAGTTTGCTATAGAGCAGCATCTCCACAACAGTGTTGTGATGATTATCAGAAAAACAACTTTAAGAAGGCTGTTGTTACTGTTTGACATAACTGGAGTTTGTACTATTTAATGATCTTAATGCTAAGGACACCTTTGTTAGCAAATCAAAGACACTCTGAGTTCCATCCTCTATTTATTGGATGTCAATGTAAGTTAGATGCTACTTGGGTTATACTAGCATCCACACCTTAGTGAACAGTTTTCGTTTCTTTTGCATTTGAACTTCAGATGAGTATAAACAATTTGTTAGTTTGTCAAGACACATAAAGGGAATGACAGAACAACAGTTATTTATGACACTTATTTACAGTACCATGACACTCACATAACAGTCAAGACAGTATATAGTTAGTAACCAGTTTCAGCATTTCATGGGAATATTATATTTGCTCCACAGGACACAGGTCTCCATGTCACTCAGTACAGTGCACTGTCTGCTGCTGGGCTTGCTTGACTTGCTCCATGCAGTAACGCCCAGAGGCAAAGTCCAAGTTAAATTCAAATCTATTACAAATTATGCTGTAGAAATCAGGTGTGTACAGCCTCTGAAAACCTTGACAGAGCAAAACCCAGAAGCTCTTCAGAGATCTGAGGTACTAATTCCATCTAAATCTCAGCTCAGTAACTTGATACCTGAAACACACCATGCATCTTCTTGCAAATAAGGATGCTAGGCAACAGCATTCCACATTTCTCCTATTTTCCTTGCAATTAAACATTTGCATCAGTTGTAAGTTACAGTTAGAGCAACAAATCAAGATCCCCCCACACTTGTACACTGGGCAAGCTGAGTAGCACTGCTATCTATCTGAACTACGCTCCATCGAAACACTAATTTTCAGCTTTTATGCCTCCTTAGAGAATCATTTCTCCGCATACTCACTGCATTGTTTAGCAGGTAAGCTGTATCTTCCACATCCAGCACCATCTTTAGGCAAAACAGGGTGATAAATCCCGCAAGTCAGACAGAGGACAGGAGCTGGTTTCTACTTTGTCCAAGTAGGAAACTGGGTTATATAGGCAAGCTGCTGTCCTGCGTAGGCTTATGACTCCCATAATACCCAGTTAGAAAAACCAAAACAGACTAATTCATGAGGACGTCATTCTTAAATAGGATTTGAGTCAGGTTTGACCAGGAGAGCTACTTACTCATTAGAGCTCAGACATCAAAGATTAAGTCTCTGCCACGCAACATACAAAAGTGCCAAATTTCAAACCTGGGAATTAGTACAGTCTTTCCTTCATCAGGTTTTTATAAGTTTAACTTTACTTCAGGCTTTGTTATCTCAAATGCTAGAACAACCCAAATTCATTCTAAATTAAATCAGAGGCAAGTTCTTTCCTAAAAGCCCAGAGTAAAGTTTCCAGTAAGAACACAAAAGAAGTCTTAGTGCAAGTCAGAACGATTCTCCACAACAACAAAAATGAGGACTTTCAATGTTTGAAATCTGGTATTTTCCAAAGTAGATAAGCAATATTTAGTCTAAAGTATTCCTACATCAGTCATACTACTGTCACTATAAGTTTAATTTTTGGCAGAAAATAGGGTATTGCAGGTATATTCATCATACAACACTCCAAAAGAGATTCACAACAGGAATAGATAGCAATAATAGCACCAATTAATATCTTCCACATTCTACCTTCCTTCTGTACTTAGGTATTTTTCAGTACAAAGCATAAAAACCAGTAATTTGTTAACCTTAACACCAGTAATGAGACTAAGCCATACTGTGTGACACACCTCCTGCTGAGTGTGGAATAGAGACATTATTTCCTCCTCAGTTAAAGACTAACAGGCATTTCAAATCATCAGAATTTTATTGCTAGATCCAGTAATAACACTGAAAACCTAGAATGTGTTTTCTTAGGAGGGACGACCTTTCTAGATTTGGGATCTTCCTCCTTTGTGCATGAAAAAAAAGTCTGTTCATGGTGGATGAAGCCAGACCCTTGAACCTGCACATCCCACTGACCTCCACAGCTAATTCTTCTGGAACTAGAAGCCCGAGTCTAGTTCAAACTCAGTGTCAACTAAAAATAGTTCAGAGGTGACAGGCGACCACACTCCTAATCACTGGCGTAAATCACCATCAGTTTAACAATTGGTTTAATTCCTCATTATCTTCACAGTAAGACTCCCCTAATTCAAGAGGGTTGTGCTGTTTTCCATTAGCACAAATTCTTAATGGCAAATACCCAAAACGTTCTCCTAAAAAACAATCAGTTCAAACCGGTTTCTTTGGTGACATCAAACCAACAACTTCACAACCCTATTGATCCTATTAAAGATCAAGAGATTTGTCTACGTGATGTAGGGATGGATGTTTTCAAAAATGCAGAGCACTGAAAACAGATGGCAGCACATCCCAATCAACGTCAACATTATAGTAAGAGGCTCTTCACCAACTCATTTGTATTAAAACACTATCTTGGAAAAAAATCCAAGGTACACTAATCCGATAGAAGGATAAAGACAAACACACCATCTGTTCACATCTCGCACTTTAACGGAGGTGCAGTCTTATCTCACTGCCCTAAAAACACACATGGAAATACTTCTGATATGTGCAATTTAAGAGAGGCTATCTTAATCTGAAGGAGCTGAACCATTCCAAAGCAGATTTTTTTGGGGGGTCAAGTGACTTTTTTGGACATTTTATCATGAAGTAGAATGCAGGAGGCAATTTGTAAGTTAATAACACAGAAGAGCTCGTTTATTCCTTCCCCTTTCTATCATGGCTAAGGAAGACATGGACTGAGGAACACGTTTACAAACAGGTTGTTGTCTTCTGAAGTATGCAGCCAAAATGCTTTAGATTATCTAAAAAGGAAAACTACACACACACATTGCACATTTTGATAAAACCATCATATTTTTTTAAGTAAAATACTGCATTCCATCAAGATTATTTTAAAGCTTTCAAATATACTTAATCCTCAATTATCATCCCATGCTTTTATTTTAATTTATAATATTATGCCTGTTACATATACCTCCCTCTCTTGCCTCAGACCTGAGGAAAAAGCTTCAGAGCTTTTAAAGAAGATTTAAATAATTTTTAAATTGCTAAGAGACAGTATACTTTATGGTTGTATGACTTAAGAAACTTAATATACTAATACCTGCATATGCTACTTTTCACTTATTTTTTTAAGTATCTTGAAGATCAAAAAAAATTGAGCTTTTAATGTGGTAGTTATCGCAACATTAGGTTTCAAAACCCCTTTGCCCTGAAGTTATTTAGCATTCTCCCCCTAGGTTTTTCTACTCTAAACCGGTTATTTCAATTCCTCTTACTCACTATTCCAGATTAATTTTTCTCTTTCTTTTTTTTATTGTTTTTGTTAAGACTTCTATTTTAAATCAGCAGTATTAAGAAAAATGTTCCCCAGTTCATGTTTTAGTTGGGTACATTAATAAGTTTTTAGAAGTAAATGCAAGTTATTCTGCTAAGGTGGAAGCCAGTAATAAGAACTTTGGTGCAGGAACTGAAACAGATTATTGCGATAGTTCTACCCAGGGATTATTCCTAGTATGATTAGCACTGGGTCACAGTGCTCTGCAAAAGCAGAAGAACACCACCACCCCCCGAAAGTGAATCCCCCAATGCCGTCACAGGCAGGAGGAAGAGGAGGGTAAGCAGAAATAGCTTTTGCATGCCGGTGGATACAGATGGCCACAAGCCATGAATCACAAGGGCCGAACTCTTCTCTGCCACCTACAGCTGCCACACAACTCAAAGTTTTGCTTAGTTATTGAGAAAGCAGTCTCCTGATGGACTGCTTAGCTCTGAAATACAAAGCTAAGAGAACACTTACAGCAACAAGGAGCCAGGTCTTCACTGGCTCCAGTGCTACCAAGCTAGAGAATAGGCAAATATATCAAACTGTAAATACAATTAAAGTATGTTTGGCATTAAGCCAACATAAAGCAGCACAGGGTGCACTGCCCTGCACCATCTTATCATTAATTGTGTTAAAACAGGTTAGGTCAGGAACACTCCCTTCTTGAGAGGCAGGGGACCTTCACTTAAATTTTCAAGTGGGCGCCACGGACGTACAGTACTGACTGGACGTAGTGCAGACCTGTCGGTTCTTCCATCTCTTGTTTTGGTCATCTCCTGGTAACTCCATGAAAGCATTCTTCCAGAGAATAGAGACACTAAATCAGGAGCTCCATCCTGCCAAGTACTGACAACCTCCTTCCCTGGACAGGTCCATCCTTCTCCTAAGTGGCTCATGGGACAGGTTGCTCATTAAGAGCACACATCAGCTTCAGTGCCAGTCACTCCAGGGCCATACATGAACTTCTCTAATGAACTGAGCAACCGGGTCTCTTGTAACAGTTTCAAAACACTTCTTTTATAAATCAAACACAGAAGAATTTAAAGACACATAGGTAGGGTACTTGTGGTTTTAAGGACCAAAGCTAAGCCTCTTTTCCAGTGGCAGCTCTTAACATAACAGATTGAGACTGTTCTTCCACATTTTTCCCTCCTGAACTAGAACAACCAAAGATTAAACTGGAAGAAAGATCATTAAAAAAGCAAGAGCTGGCAGAACAGGGCTAAATGACAAGAATCACTGGTCCAGATTAGTGACAGTTAATCCATAACATGGGGGAAAAAACAAACAAACCAACCAAAAAGGCTTAGAGAATTTGATCTTGCAAGCTAAAAAAAAAAATCTATATATATACACATGGTTTACAAACCAAGTAAATGTATTCCAAGAAGAGAAATGAAATATGGGTCACTTCTGGATTTTTAATCAAAACACTGCAGTACTGTTGTTGGCAGACTTAATCTGGGATTCAGATTTATTTAGACCAAGTGATCAATCTGGACTCAAACAGAAAGCTTCTTCCATGCTGTACACAGTCCCGCAGGAAGTCATATGGTGAGAACTTTAACTTACATTTCTTCATCATAAAGATCATGAAGATACAGGATTAATGTAAACTACAGTTTTACTACAGAAGTAAGAGCCATTGAAAGATGGTAAAGATGTTTGAGAGAACTGTCTCCCTTCATTTCCAGGGAAAAGACTGCTGAGTCTGTGCTGCATTTTTAACCAAGTTGCACAGCATTGAATACAGACAGGTGCAAATAAAGTGCAACATGCTAGAAAGTACAAAGTTATTTCCTCGACGGACCTCCATCTGCACATTCAATAGATTAGAACAATTTCATAGCTTTCCTTATTCCTGCAGGATCCACCTCCCTCCCTACACCCTCCTGATAAAAATAAGGCACCCAGCAAGCCTCTTTTCCCAACACATACTCCTTGTCCTCAGTGATGGGAATTCATAGCTCACTCTTTCTGTCGAGGCAGGTACAAGTCCCTTCTGGTTCAACCCAGTCTGACTCCAACAGCCATGCATTTCCTTAGTCTCAGCTCAAGAAACAGCAAGGACAAACTTCTCAGTCAGAAGCCCAAATGGTGATAAAATAATACACAATGGTTGATAAGAGAATTACAAAGGCACCTCAGAAAAGCACAACACACTGTGTGCGGAAAGCTACCATTTGACCCAGTGATGTACTTTATGAACATTTACGTTCTGGATGTAAATAAACACATGAAAACTACCATCACCCCTGTTACAGACAAAATTGATTGCTTAGCACCTTCCACCAATCCAAAGGCTTAAGGAATCCTCTGGAAACTTTCTATGGCATAATGGGATACATTGAGAGGGACATTTCCTCTGAGGAAATGCACACACAAGGTTAATGAAAGCAAATTAATTGGGGAAAGTGTGTGTCCATGAGGGAGGGGAATATTTTGCTTTCACTACCACAGCTGGGGAATCTCATTTTCTTGGCAAGAACAGAGCTGCTTGCAACCAGTCACCTCTTTGGGATGAAACTTTCTCAGCTTTGGTCTGAAAAGACCTCCTGCAGTCTCCTTCACATCGCAACATCAGAGCCCCATTCAGACCCATCTCCCACAGTAACAGTATTTCTGGTGAGCAGACAGTTATTTCAGATCACATTTTGTTGTTTTCTCAAATGTCTGTTCTGTTTCCCCTTTTACCAAATAAACCCCAAAAACCACAAAACAGAGAATAGCTTTACTTGCCTGAACATCAAAGTCTGGAAGGAGGCGAGTGATAGCCTGTGAAGAGATTTTAAAGCATTAATGCAGGTAACTTCTGCAGATACAGAAATATGTGCTGTGACATGTGTGCTCTAACCCACTGGCTCTGTAGCCAAGAGCTCTGTCCTGTCCCCTTCATTCAATGAAAGTTCTCTTGCTGAACTTCAAAGTTCACCCAAGAGCTTTTACCCGCTAAATTTCATGGAGAACACGAAAGCAGTAAAATACTAAATTAACAGATCAGCACAAAAGCTGTGTCCTGGCTTTCTCTGGGACAGAGTCAACTTTCTTCATAATAGCTAGTATGAAGCTGTGTTTTGGATTTGTGCTGAGGGGAAGTCTGATAACAGGTGCTGCCAGGATAGTCAAGGACTATTCAGCTTCTCTGCTGTGCCAGTGTCTGCAGGTGCAGGAGAAGCTGGGAGGGAGCACAGCCCCAATTACTAGCCTAGGATTTGACCTTAGGTTCAGGATTGAGACCAAAATTGTCCAATGCTCTATTCCATATCATGCATTATCATGATGCCCAGTGTGACATCTGAGGAAGCATAATACAAGCTCCTACACCTGTTGAAGATCTCCACCAGAAAAAAGAGTAAGGTGATATCCTCCCCATCTGCAATAGCCCAAGAGGCTCATAGCTCCAAAGGAAGAAGTATCTTACAGTCACCTCCTTTCATTAAAGGACAAGGAAGAAGTGAAGCTCATATTTCCACTGGAGGGCTGAATAGAGAGGGAAGAGCAGTCAAATCAACACTTGTTACACTGCAGAGTATGACAGGAAAGCCAAATCTTGAAAAAGAAGTATTGCAACAAAAAGCAAAGCTTAGGATCCTGGTAGAGAGGTCACATCGTCCCAGGAGCCCAGGTAAAGTAAGGATGGAAGATGTCATAAGCAATAGAGCTGCTGTCTTGGGCAATATCATCTCAGATGGTGGACCTCAAAGCATCGTGGTCCAACCCGTAATTATGGCAGCCATGATCTTTAGGTATCTAGGCAGTGCCTGTTATATGCAAACAGGTATCTAAAGAGCTGACTGAGCATGTGGAAATCATTTTGCACAGCCTTAGCTTCAGACAATAATCTGCTGCATTTTAATCTTACTGTACTGTTGGTCTCAAGACCTTTTAAACATTGCTAATTTCATACACTGGTCTTCCAGTGGGGTCTAGAGTTAAAAGGAATAAGTAGATATGTCATCTGTCCAGACAGTGTATGAAATAAGGCTCCATCTCTGTTCAGGAATGAAGACTCAGCTGTAGAAGACAGCTAGGCACAACAAGCCAGGATGCAACAGTTAGCCTTAGTATGTGCTGAGCATCCTTCAGGGCAATCTTTTCCACTTTTTCAAACTACATTCAGTATCTTCCTTCATTCTGTTATGAATGCCACAGAGGAAATTAAACTCTCTGCAGACAAAACATAAGGTAACATAATGAATAAAAGCATAACGGGTTAATTCTCAAGACACCAACTTTTGATCTATGTGCTACAGAAACCCAGGAAGTTTCAGTGTTTTACGAACTTTGAAGCAAATGCATTACAGTACCCATAGGACTTCTGCTTGGTATCTCCTTCACTTTGCTACTGCTGAACAATATTGGCATTAAAAAGGGATCTTAGTTTCTGAAAAGTTTGAGTGTCGCATTCACTGGTATTCAAACAAGCTCTGCTTTCATGCAATGTCCTTGGCAAGGGAGCTGTGTTTAAAGTTTCTCAAGCCATTTCACTGCAGTCACAAGTGGAAACGATTTTCTGAAGTGTTTACACAAAAGAGGTAGGCAATAAAAAAGAAAGTAGCAGATAGAGCAATTAATAGTTCTAGTATAGAAAACCAGAAAGAAAACTAACACATTTATATACATTATTGTCAAGAATTACAGTCATTGGGAACAAAAGGAAAATCTTAGTTGTGATCCAAGAAAAAAGCTGAGAGTTTCCTTCACATATCGCAGTGAATTATTTGCTGTGAAGATACCAAAGCAAAAAGTATTGCTACCATCAAGGACTTAAACAGCCAGTGAACCTAGATGCTGTGGGCAGATTTTTGAAGAAAATGGTGCAAAAAACAAATGGAAAGAAGTACAACAAAGTTAAGCAAAAAAAAAAAAAAAGGCTCAGATGTTTCTACACTGCAACCCCAGAGGACTGGCTGTGGCCTGGGCACAGACAGCCAGCTGGTAGCAGTCTGGCTGTAACTCTTAGCACAGAACAACTAGAGAGGACTAGATGGGGCACAGTCGTACTTCCAGACTCAGATGTGCCCAAAGGAAAAGTAAAGGCTCTCTCCGTGCCTCCCTGAAAGGTAGCTGACAGAGCAAAGCTTGTATCTTTACATTAAGGAGTCTATAGGTACAGATGGATGTACATGAGGTGGCCTAATTGGCATAATTCAAAAAAGCTAAAGAGACTCAGAGCTGTCATTACTCAGAAAATAAAAAAATGTCACCACCAGATTAGCTCTAGACAAGAGTAAAACCAACGATCGAGAAAGTGCAAATAATTAAAGTACAGTTTTGCATTATAAAAAACCCTAACCTCTTACTCCATCTCCAGTTTCTTGTACTTGTTTCTTCCATACAATATTTTAAAACTAATCTAAGAACATACGTGCAGTTCCAACAGCTCTAAAAAGCTTTAAAATAATTACCTCTTCCTTCTCCACCAGAGGTTTCACCTCTGCCAGGTGAGCATCCTGGAACTCTGACATGGTCAGTAGCTGATATCTGGAAAGATGAAAAAAGATTTGTTCTCAGCTTGCATCAAAGGTTAAATACAGAAACAAATAAAAATCCCGCTCCACCCAGCACCCCACCAATGACCCACTGTCTCGGGTTATAGTTTAAAAGACCTTTGCAAGAAGGTTATGAATCTCTTGGAAAACACCTCCCTGGTTTATTTATATAAACACTCCTGCACAACACAAGATTAAAGAACTGTTAGGGCTGCAAGATCAAACAAAAGTTTGGCAGCTTCAAAACAGGGCATGCTGAAGGAAACAGGGCAGGGATCAGTATAGAGAGGGTCCTGGGAACTGTCATTTTGCAGGTGGAAGGCGGCATAGCCAAATCTGCACAACCACCTTCTGAAATCAGCTTGAATACCTGTCTCTGAAATATTTTTTCTTCCCCCCTTTTTTTTTTTTTTTTTTTTTAATGCAGGCTCCCTCTGCATTCCTGAGATCTTTACTTTAAGAAAACCAAACTGACACTCATTAGCACCATTTTACTCTCAGACCAGCATGGTCCATTCCTTGGGACAGAAACACCTTCCTTGATCTGAACAAACAAACAGTTACAAGTAAAATAGATATTCCTTTAAGTGGGTACCAACAAGGTGCATGCAATATGCTATTTTCAAAGCTGTCCAAGTAAGGAAAAAGATTGCTGTATCGTGCCCTAGGACAGGACCAGCAACGTGATACCCAGCCCTTGTCTGCGGGAAGCTTAACTGGGAACACAGATGCGTCTGAATCTGAAGGATTGTAAAACTGAGGAAATTGTTTTCTACAGTTCATTTAGGTGGAGCATGATGGAATATGCCTGCTGTATTTTGCCCACAGAAATCTTTTGGCAAAGCGGCACCCCCAGCCCCAGCACAGTCACACCGCCCTGAGTGTGCAGCCCCCAGGCTCTTACCCCCACTTCCACACTGGCCAAACACCTGTTCAATCTTAAAATTAAACTGTTTAAACTCAACTGGTGGTATAACAATATTTACCAGGGTTGGCAATTAACTTAAACGCTGAAGAAATTCCATGCCAAAGTGCAGAAGCACCTGCTGCCACCCCAGCAGAGGTGACTGAAGGAGCAGTGGGTTGTGCTGCATTGGCACCGAGAGGCATCTCAGTTCAGTGACCGTATCACTCCAAACAGGGAGTTGAAAAGAAGAATGGCATGTTTTCAATTCTCTCGACAGAGATAAGGTGCCAGAAACAGAGGGCTGGTCCCTGTGAAGCTCTGATGAACAACCAGAAACAGTTCTCAAAAGAGATACTGAAACTGTTTTACAGCAAGATTACAAATACAAAAGTCAAAGCATGTTTGTTGCGTATCCTCTTGCCTGCTGGAGAAATGCATGTCATGTTCATTTTGGGTACCTTTGAACAAAATTGTAAATTTATTAACTACATAAAAACCACGTCAATTATTTAAGAAAAGCTTAGAACTGTCTCAAGTGAAGCATATGAAGCGTACTCTTAAACCAAGCCAAAAGGCTGAAACACACTTAGGAATTATTGATTAAGTGCAACCACAAACATTTTAATCATTTATAATTTTCCTGAAGGTAAGCATAAAACTACAGAACAAAATTAATATTGATTCTTTAAACCATCATTTCCCACCTCCTGACTTAAATCTGATTTAAGCCAATCAACCCTGTCTACATAAATGTCCTGGTGCTCAAGAAGGGCTGTAAAGCCCACAGGAGTGTTAGGAGCAGCAGCGGCAGCCGCAGCATCATTTTTACCCTGCCCCATGGGTTAACTCAGTGCTCTTTTCCCTGGGCAAAGATGCTCTAGTGAGAAAGTTTGCAAGATGGCTGGATGCTGCAGGAAGCTATGAGGTGGCACATACTGATTAAGAAAGCTAATGCTGAAAAAACGCTGGTGTCCATGCACATACAAACAGCTTCAGATTTTAGGAACCCCTCTTACTAGCTATGCAATTGGGTGGATTTTTGGTAAAGAATTAGGATGGGGATTCTAAGCTTAGAGAAGTGCTTCATGAATATTTAACCCCGCTACTTGAGGCATGGGGACAGGAACAAAGCTGACCCCATTGCCAGTAATTTGTAATCCAAACTTACAAGGCACCAGAGATACTTAAATAGTCAGAAGAGTCCAGACAAGAGTTAATTCCCTGGCAGTCACTGATTCACCCTTCTTCTCTAGGTTTTCCAGTAAGTTTTGCCCGTTACAGATTTTAATCATAAAGAAGAAGCAAAAACCAAGTTTGACAAAGTTCCAAGCAGCTGCAAGTGACATTTTAGAAACAGTTTTACATATTTTCGTAATTACGACCATCTATGTAATCTGCCATTCTACACAGTGAGCAACTGTGCATGGCAGAGGGAAGATGAATGCTGCTGCAATACTTGGAGGTCAAAAATATTTACATGCAATTGCACCTAACTCAAATGGCTTTTTTTTGCAATTCAGCAAATTCTGTTAAGACAGAAATAACACCTTAATGTTGCACCTAATTCTGCAATAGGGACTAGAAATGCATGAAATTTTTCCATGTTTTGCCTATAGGGGAGGAAAGTAAAAAGCCAGGTCTCCTGCAGTTTTCCAGTAAAAAGCGGCTGGAAGAACAAAGCCACAGCTAGTGTTTGTGGAAGAAAGTTGTTTATACAGGACAGTTTCAGATTTTCAGGGACTCAGAGCATTGATTACAAATGACCAAAAAAAAAAAAACCAAAAAAACCCAAAAAACCTGTGCCAAAAAGAACAAGATGGGTGCTTTTTAGAGCTTTAAAAAACAATCCTGTTTTCATAACAGTTCAAAGCTGTCGCTCTATGTTTCCGAAAGAGCCAGAGCTAGGAAGTGCTGACCAGCAGATTACATGATGCCATAAAGTCTGCTGAACAAAACCCCAACATGTACCAAGTTTTTGATTTTGGAAAGATACCACGTCTTGAAATCACACAATGTTTTCAGATCAGGCATTTTCAAAGCTCTGGGTTTGCGTTCTCTGCATCAGGAATACCTGAAACATTCCTACCAAGAAACAACTTCATGATAAGGCAGCACAACAACGTGCCTTCTGTTCACAAGAGCTGGCAGACAAAGCCCTGCTATCTGACGGCACTGTAAAAATCATCTTATTTTCCAAAGAGAAAGATGCTGGGGAAGTGGTTTTGTATCACCCATGTTCAGCATAAATTTTGCAATCTCTAAACAGGTGCTTTGTGCTCCTCCCCTTTTGTGACAGGGTAGCTCGAAGCTAAATAGATAACCATACAAACATTCCTTTATGCACATTTCAAAGCTCTTGCCTCACAGAAATCTTCAGAAGACAAGGTTCATTTATATCTGCAAGCAGTACTGTAAAGTTGCCAATTTGGAGAAAAACAACTTTTTTTCACTGCACTTGGCCAATTCAACCTGCTAAGAGGGCCCAAATTCTCTTCTCCGGGACAAGCCACCTCCACACAACAGACACCTACCACCCTGCAGCCAGACATTGGTTACAGTTGCTGCTCAGAGGATTAAGTTTTAAAACAACGGCACTTCTAACTAAGAAAAAAAAAAAAAAAAAAGGTTTAAGGCATCTTTGCACTGGTAAAGTGCTTTAAAACTGATCACATATCTGCCTTTGCCAACTAGCAGGAAAGGCAGCAAAGCAGCCTTTAGGAAGCAAGGGGGGTGCAGGGAGGGGTGAAGTTAATCTGTGCAATACTGTGTTCACTAATTTCATTCAAAGAGGCTTTTCTGTACCTGTTCCAGCCCAAACCCACTTCTCCAAAACCACCGGAGCAAGTGCATAACCAAGGTAAGTAGCTAAGGAATCATCTCACTGAGCCTGATTATTTTGCTCTTAAAGGTTCAGAATATAACACCTGTCTCTCTGTGTCATCGCTCAGGGACAGTCATCACTGGGGCCTTGTTTTGGCAGCAGAGGATACAGGATGGATGGACAGCCTGGCTTTGCACAACAAATAACAGCAATAACAAAGATAAGAGGCCACACATCAGGACATCTATCCTTGGACACCAGCAGTGTTGTGATCATAAGTACCAAACATTAAGTAATCCTAATATGCGACAAAATTAATTCCAAGCACTGTAGCAAAACAAATTCAAAGATCTCTCATGTCAAACTTTATTCTGCTGAAGACACTCAGACATGGTCATCTGAGTTTGTGCCATGGGGTGTGCATCATCAAGCGTGGTCTCCTGGTCTTGACGGGCTGGGGGAACCGCTACCAGCACTACAGGATCTACCTCTGCCCTCATATCAACTGGTTTTTATTTACATCCTATCATGGAAAACAAAGAACAGGAAAAGACTCCTGCCTAGGCATTTTTTCAAGAAGGCAATTTCCTAAAAACAGCTTGTTTAAACACTGGCAGCAGTGATTATTCTCCTTTTGAGTACTGATATGCAGAAAGGTAACCTCACCAGAGCAGCCTGATGGCATCTCCATCTTTGCAAGCTGAGCACGCAGAAGGGACAGTAATCACTTTCCATGCAGGATTAAACACTCATGAGCATGCAATGGCAAAGAGAGGAGGGAGAAAGCCATGGGCACTGAGGGTCACAGCTCCTAGGCACTGCTGTTGCTCTCTCTGGAGAGAGAGGGGCCATGCAAGTCTTGGGCTCCAGGGCCACATGCGGGAGGCGTTTCCAAGCCAGCCGCATCACCCTGCACTTTTATCCTTTGAAAGCCACAGGTTTCCTCAGAGCTCAGGCAAAGCAGGTAGGAAGGACAGGAATGGCAATCTGAGAAGCAGAGATAAAGCAAGGATGGAGAGAGCTAAAATGTCTCCAGAGCTCTGCAGAAGTTGACTAGCAAACTTCCAGGTCAGAAAAATAACCATCAGTTATTTTTCTTCCAGGTCAGAAAAATAACCAAGCAGCCCAGGCCTCTGACAATGAAGTCACTGTGACACTCAAACAGCATTTGAGCCTTACATACAGTCAGTTAGACCTCTTCCAGTCATTAACAGTAAATGCTGTAAACTAGTCTGACTGGCCCTAAAATAAAACATTATGG